AATATATTATAAAGTTAATTAATTTTTATTAATTAATAATTAGTAAAAATTAATTAATTTCATATGTAATTAAAATAAATTATTGATAAACAATCTGAAAAATCTAAAAAAATATATTAAATTAAAGAATTTTAACTATTTTTTAAGTTAAAATGAAAAAATATTTATTAGTAAAATTAAAAATTTTTATATATAAAGAAAAATATATATTTTACTAATTATAATTAGCAAAAATTTAAGTATTATATAACTTCTAATAGTTATTATATATTATAATATAAACTTAATACAGATTTATAATAGCTAGTTATATCTTATATTTTAAATATAATATAAGTAATTTCTATATTATCAAATATCTTATATTTATTTTTTATAATTAAATTAGATTATTATAAGTAAAAGATAAAATTATATTATAATAATTCTAAATAATAATAATAATAAATATTCTTCTATATTTTATACTTTTTTATCTTATAAATATTTTATTTTTTTTATTCTTAATATTTTTTTATAATATTAAAGTAAATATAATATATAATAAGCTTTTTTTATACTATTTCAAATAACTTTTATTATAATAACAAATTTATTTTTATTTTCTTTTAATTTAAACTTATTTTTATATAACTCATAAATAAATTTAACTTTATTTATATATGATAAAGATATAAAAATAATAATAATAAATTTTTATTTAAGTTATTTATAAAATTAAAAATAATATTTCTTATAATTATTTCTATTTTCTCTATATGAAATTCTATTCTTTATAATAAAGATATTTTCAAGAAAATTATTAATATTTAGAAGTCTTTTATATTAAATATAAAAATATCTTTTTTATTAATAATCTTATCTTAATATTTCTTAATTTATCTAATATATTATTATATTTTTCTCTAATAATAATAATAATAATAATAATATATCTTTTATTATCTTTTAAATATAAATTTTACTAAAAAACTGAAATAAAAAACTTTATAATAAAATTCTTATTCAATTTAATTCTATTAATTTCAAAAAATTAATTAAAAAATATATTATTATTAATATTTATATTTATTATAAAAATTAATAAACTATATTATATATTTAAATATTATATATTAATTTATTTATATTAATATTAATAATTATATTTATTTCATATAAAATTATTCTAAAAGATTAGTTAATATATAAAATACTTAAATTATTATCTTAAATATTATCAAATGATAATAAAATTAAATAATTATATATGATAAAAATTATTTTTTGTCTTTTATCATTCTGATAAAATTTTCATACTCAAATACTAGAAAAAAAAATAATAGTTTATCAAAATATATTTTATCTTTTAATAATTTATTAACTTTTCTTCTTATAATTTATATAATTTCTAATTAGAATTTAGTATTATTTTACTTAAAATAAATTATTAGTATATTATATATTCATAATATTATCTATATAGACTTTTAAATTAATAGTTTCATTATTTGAATTTATAATTAGAAATATTCTTATTAATATTTTTATGAAGAAATTTATAATCTTTTTATAACTCTTAGTATTATTAATATTATTAAAATCAATTTTTTAACTTATAATAAATAATAATAATTATATTTAAAAAATTAGATAGTATCTTATAACTTAATTAATACTAGTTAATATCATTTAAAAAATATTAACTTTATATTATTTCTTGAATAAATTATCAAGAGATATTAGTAAAGAGATAAATATATGAAATTAAACTAAATAATCTATCTTAATAATACATAACTTATAAGCTAGAATTTATTTTTAAAAAAATCAAAGTTAAAATATATTATATTTCTTACTTTCAAATCAAACAAGATCATCTTAATTATATATTTATAGTCTTAAAGTTTGAGAAGAATTATAACTATATTATCAATCTCAACTTCATATTAAGAAATAAAAAACTTATTTGAATCTCTACAAATACTAAAATACATCACTATTATAATAATTCTAATTTGAAAGATAACGAGTTAAATGCATACTAGTTTAAGAAAATAATTGAAAATAGTATATATAAGTAAAATATGCAAGGAATTGGTATAAAAATAAGAATTTAGATTTGATAAATATGAACTTTAGATTAAATAATACCAAGAGAAATTTCTTTAAATATTACTTAGCAAAGTTTTAATTATATAATATATTATATTATACTAATTTGTTGAATATAATTAACTATAAATGATTTCACTTTGATCTTTGCGATTTTATTGGTTTACCTCTTAAAATCACATGATCAGTAACTTTTTTGCGATATTTTTTATTTTTTATGCGATACAAGTTAAACCCTTTATAATGATATCAAATATCCAGGCTAATTTTGTCTTTATAAAGAGAATGTCATTGATAGAGGTCAAAATTTTCTTTTAGAAATATATGAATAATTATAGAAAATTTTGGTCGCTATAGAGAGAATTCCGTTATAAAAAGTGTCGTTATAGGGAGGCTGACTTGTATTATGCGTTGAATCTAATTAATCATGCATTACAAACTCTATTATGCAGTTTATGCGGTTGTGCAATTTGCATAAAATTATTGTCCCTGGGGGGCAATTGCAAAAAAAATGTGTGGAAATATAACCTCTTTTGTCAATATTCTAACTTAAATCATGTTATAAGGGTTAAAATACATGTTTCAGGCACGAGCTGGAATCAGGAGCATTTGTCGTTATAAAACTATAATCACAGTAGAGCTCCAGCGAAATCTAAGTTTCTTATTTTTTAGTTATATCGAGTTTGCGTTTTGTTAACTTATATATATATATATATTTATATTTACACAATAAAATTGCCGATTTAAACCAATCACGATATATTTATTTCATGTGAAAATATCAGTCAATTGCGATTCGCTTTATTAATCAGCTGCGAAGATTTTTTGGTGATAACTCTTGATCTTTTCATGTGTTTTTATGAAGCGATCGGTGCAAATACTTGAGACATCGCATTCTATTGTTCCCATGTATTTGAATTTTATTTTTATCGTCAGTAATGTATGTATTAATTAAAGAATAATTAAAAGTAAATCTGTAGGTTCCCCCCCCAATTGAATCTTAATTTCAACTAACACAGAGTACAGTGTTGGTCAATGATCTTTGAATAAATTTCGTATAACAAGAGGTCATTTAAAACGGTTTGACCATTAAATTGACCAACACTGGTAGATGTATGTAATAGTAATTGGTTGTAAAATCTTAACAATGCAAAGTTTTGACGATACATAGAACTTTAAGCCTAAAGGGGGGACGCCAATGCCATTATCTCATGCAAATGCCTACCACTACACATTTGTTAATGACATTCTTATATGCATTACACCTTTCAAGCTATTATGACTTCGTCACAATATCCACATTTTCTCTTAACCTTGATAATCTATTTTACATTAAAGATTCGCATTGAAGATTCTAATTTAATTTATTGAAAGTTAAAGAAAAAAAACATCACAAGTTGAAACCAATATTAGATAATCAATATTTATTACACATGTATGTATCTTATGTATCTTGTCGATTTTTTATGGGTTTCAAAGTGCATGTAATAGCCGACACGCGCGTAATAACAAATTACTAGTAAATTTTGTATATAACCAATCGCACTGGTAAGAAACAATTCGAAAACGAGCCCCTCGAGTAGCCAACATAAAGAATATTAACACATAAAAATGTCGTCGATATATCTCTGTTACTTAGTTTTAACTATATCTCTTATCTTATTAACAGATATCCTACAAGAATCTAATGCTTTCCCGACAACGATAGAATCTCTTAAGCGTAGAGATGACTTAGTTTGTAACGGAAGCGCAGATCTGTGTGATTTACGATATGATCAAGTGGTAAATTAAAATACTGACCAACGCTATCATTATGAAAAATTTTTTAATTCAAATCTCTTATTGGCAATTTTCATTGCTTTACGTTTAGACACATCCTGGTACGCACAATAGTGCAGCATATGACCTAAAATTTGATTGTAAATCTGCAGCCGCCGTTTGCAGTAATAAAATCAAACCTGTTTCGAAATTATGTAACCTATTTGATATCCTTTGCCTTCAGAATGGAGTATCAAAAGAAATAGTTGAATGTCTGTTTGAGGATAACGTGGGACACGATGTAGCAACACAATTAAAAGATGGTTAGAATTTTTTTTAATTGGAATAAGCTTTCTTGTCTAATACATGTAATAATCAAAACTATTAATTATTTTATTTCAATAGGAATCCGTCTTTTCGATTTTGATTCTTGTGTAACTGTAGACACCAACGAAGTTGTTAGATGTCATGGCAGCCAAGGTATTCGAGCAATTGGAGGTGGATTTGAACCATTATTCCAAGCGATACGTGATTTTTTGAACGCAAACCCGAACGAGATTATAACGATTGAATTCAACGACGGGGATGGTGACTACGCAACACTTGCTGGAGGCATTCAATCAAAATTAGAGCAATATTTCATTACTGAACCGGGACATTCAATGCTAGTCACACGGAAAGATAATAACGAACCATGGCCAACTTTACGACAAATGATTGAAACTAATCAACGAATTGTAATCTTTTTCGGCTACTTTTATGACTCGACGCCGAATCGTATGCCTTGGATTAATAGTAAAAATTATTGGTTGACTGATTCCTATACATACACCGCACCAGATGGAAGTGCTGCGAGTTTAAATCAAAGTTTCACAGAATGGTGTAAAAATGCTTCTAATGTAATCAAGGCTGATGAAAACATGTATGGACGTGTAAAGTGGCAGGCTATTGATGAAACGTAAATTAATCATTTAAATTTTCATATGGGATCAAGAGAACAATTATTGTCGTCATTTTTAATATTTATCAATCTTTCTTTTTCTTTAGAATCGGCTTAACTGAAGACACATTTACCTCCATTAAACCGCTTACTAAACCAAAGATCTGTCTGGGCGATCTTGCAAGATCAGTGAATTATGATCTTTTGGATTATGTTGCAAGCATCTGTTATCCCGCTTATCCTTATTTCCTCCGAGTACGATTAGATTTCTATTGGCAAAGTAATTTATTCAAAGTCACAAAAGATTTAAATGCTAAGAATGTGGAAAGAGTTAAAAAAGGGGATCCGCTCACACCTTTCTAAATTTATTGCATAATGTCAGCGTTAGAATGTAATATATTAGAATATATATCGTTAGACTGTTAGATTATAATCTAGAAAAAGTATTTAAATATCTGATGTCGATATATTTGCGCATAGAAGTTTATATGGTGCATGCATGGAAATGCACCAATAGTCGTAGACGAAAAAGCTTTGTCATACCTGTCAAAATAACCCTTCGTTTCTTTATTCAAAGGAATTTCCGTGTTGTTAATAAATTTTTCCTATTAATGGTAAATTATTTAATTTCATGAATTTAGTATCTCCGATAATGTTATTAAAAAAAAAGTTTCCCATACACAATCATGCACAATGCGGTCTCTATATACATGTACATGCTAAAACTAGTTTCGGCGTAGATGCATTGTAACATTACACGAAATTCGAAAGAAAGGTTGGCAATATTAAGAAAATTTTTTAGAAAACCAAAGTACTCTTTTATTTAAGAAGCTAAATACGTCTTTATCTTTTTATTGGAAATATTTCCATAGGACAATTATAAAATGGATGATGACAATAAAAATGTTAATAATGAAAATTTAAAGCCTATTAATGAAAAAGAAGACTTCCGTTTTACCGTAAAAATTGAAGAGGACAACACACGGAAATTTGCATCAAAAAAAGACGACAATAATACTGGTATAATAACAAATGAACTCGATGAAATCAATACAGGTGATATGAAATTCAATTTCAATTCACCATTAACACAAAAAATTCTCTTGATTATGTCTGCATTGAGTCTAGTTAATGTTGGAACCTGGATTGCTTGTGCTCTTTTATTTCGTAATTATCCCGGACAAATGGGAACTGCAGCATTAGCATACACATTAGGACTTCGTCATGCAGTTGATGCTGATCATTTAGCCGCGATTGATAACGTTACCCGTAAATTACTTCAATCCGGGAACAGACCAGTTGCAGTTGGACTATTTTTCTCGCTGGGCCACTCAACAATTGTGATAATAACAACAATTGTACTTGCTGCCACCGCAACGGCATTTGAAGATAGATTTGGTAACATTGGCGAGACCGGAGGTTTAATTGGCGCTTCGGTTTCTGCAACGTTTCTTTTCGTAATCGGTATTATGAATTTGATCGTGTTCATCTCGATATATCGGTCTTTTAGACACCTCAAAAAAACCGGTTCTTATAAAGAAGAAAACATTAATGATATCCTTAATAGAAATGGATTACTTGGTAGATTCTTTTCACCAATTTTCAGATTCATTGACGCAAGTTGGAAAATGTATCCACTCGGAGTGCTATTCGGATTCGGATTTGACACAAGTACCGAAGTTGGGTTACTCGGAATTTCAGCATTTCAAGCTTCCCGAGGATTTCCTATCTGGCTGATTTTATTCTTTCCATTGTTGTTCACCGCTGGAATGGCATTAATCGATACCATTGATGGCATTTTAATGTTGGGTACTTATACATGGGCATATATCAATCCGGTTCGTAAAATATATTATAATCTAGTGGTTACCTTCCTTTCAATTGCCGTGGCATTCTTGATTGGTGGAATTGAATTATTGAATATTATTAGCGAAAAAGCAAATTTGAGTGGTCCATTTTGGGACTTTTTTTCTAACTTGGGAGATGATTTTGGCACGATCGGTTATATTATTTTAGGGCTATTCATCCTTACTTTTATTTTGGCTAAAGTATACTATAAATTGGCCGGGTATGATAAGATGGAAGAAAATTTCGATGCACGAAAAATAGCAGCTACCGCTGCTGCTGAAGGTTCTGATTCGTCGATTAATGAAAATGACAAAAATTCAATTGGCGTAAAAAATGACGGACATGTAGTTGAAATTAGTGTGGACGCTAGTGATTGATGAGAAATGCGTGCATAGAAAAAAGACATGTATTTAGCATTCACATCCTGTATCCGTCGTCATTATTTTTTATAAAAGAACTTGTATGTGGCATTGATACATTTACGATTATGCAGCTACACGTATTTTGTGTTATTATTTTTGTAAATAAAGAAGTGAGATAAAGTTTAGACTAGGACTAATTTTTGTTCTAAATAACGATAACATGCACCAATCTGACATGCAGAAAAAACCTGTTACCATAATATGATGCCAAGATCATAAGATTTCCCACGCACCAATATGAACCACAATTGTTCAATACCCACTATATCGTTATAAAATAGCAAACAGGGCCGTCAAATTTTCTATCAGAAAAATTGAAAATGTCGCCTACTAAAGGATCATCATGCAATCGTAATGACGTTTCAAGCGGTCCGAACGTTTATGATGGGGATAAACCGGCGCTTTGCGGAAATTCGTAAGTTTGTGCATATAAAGTTCTGACTGGCCAAATATCAAATATTTATCATGATATATTTATTTCATCTTTTCAAATAAAAGCAATTGCAATTGTGGGGATAGTTGCGCATGTAAACCAGATGAATGCAAGTGTTGAAGCAAATAAAACCAAATTATAACGTCAAAGGTAAATAATTTATGTACATATATGTTCGAGAATAAATAATATCTTTTTCTAACCAATTTTAAAAATAACCAGACTTTTGTTCTTTTCACTATGTATGTTATTTAAAATCTATGCCAAATAAAGAATTTTTTTATTTTCTCATATTTTGAGTCACGTGAATCGAAATGATTGTTCCAAAAAATAGAACTTCATATTGTTTTGAACGGCGAACAATAAGAATAATATTATTATTCACACGGAAAAAGCAAAAATAACGCAATGCGGGGGATAAAACACTAAACTCGTTTAGTCTTAGCTTTGTAACTTTTTGATCCTTAGAACGAAAAAAACGTGGTATGCACATGGTATCCAGAGACAAAGTGATGTTCAAAACGGGTGCATGTCTTATTGTCAGGATCTCCGCAATCACAAGACCAAAAAATGAAATAAACCAGAGATTGTGTTTATTGTTCTTTCTTTTGGTATGCTTTGTCTCGATGTAAACCATTGTTATTTTACTATCGTTATGCGCTGCAAGTTTAAATTTTTCGTCAACACATACAAAATAATAATAGTAAAAAGATAAAAAGTAATTGGGATTCTGTGATATTCTAGAACAAACTGAACTAAAATAGAAATTACTTATTGTTATTATTATTGTCGCTTTAAAGTAATATTAAAGATTGGCAGAGAAGGAGAAAAGGAAAATTAAAAAAATTAAAAAAAAAACGCTATATACATAAAGAATTGTTCCCTCAAATAAGCAGTTCCTTTCACGTTGATGATTGATTGATTGAATACAAACATTTCTCTGTGTGTTGTAATCGTTCACATAATTTGTCCTCGTAAAGCATTGTTATTTATTAATACATGCAACCGAAACGAATTAACTTCTCGTGTTGATTATCTTTAACGCAACAAATTGATGGTGATGGGGTCTGATGCTTCATTACGCTCATCATTATTGCAGGTATCACTTCTGTTTGATGATGATGAAATTGATTTGGATTTGAATTGAATGCTGCAGTTGAGCTTGGATTAATGAAAAGAGGCGTGTCAATATCCATTTCATCCTCAGTTGTTGGAGTTGATACGAACGAAGATTCATTGGATTGAATGCTATTATCGACCGTGACAACACTGTGATTATGTCGTTTGTATATGAAAATATCCTATATAATGTGTGATTTATTTTAAATAATAACATTTATAATGTATTATTGATGTGATGAACCAAAATAACAATACAAACTTCGCGATTTTCATCTTCACTATCAAGTTTACGTTTGAGACTCTGTGCTTGAAATTGCATTTTTACGCGTTTATTATCTTTTTTGACGAGTAGAAGAGAGTATTTTATTTATTTGTTATTATCAAAAAGTTAATGGTGGGAAGAATGTTATTTATTATCAGAAAGTTGTGGCGTGAGAGATAACAATATTAAGATAACGTTACGTGATTTGATATTATTTATTCATAAATTGAGTGAACGAGAAATGATAGATGAAGAGAGGAAGAGAGGGAGAGAGCGAGAGAGAATTAAATACAAAAAACGAAAAATCAAAAGGCAGGCATCGTCGTTTGGCCGGGATATTTATAAAGTTTCAGTTATTATTAAAAATTAAAATAATTATAAGATCAACTAGGAACAGTAGCAGGACAAAATTAAATTGATCAATTTAATATTTCGGAATGGTAAAAAACGTGTTTATTCTTAATAAAGAAATGACCCAGCTCATTTTATTGTCTTTTAGTTCCCAGATTACCCATGCATTTCAAAGAAAGGACCCACCACATAATCAACAAGGGACACAGACTTTTGTTGTGTTATTTTTGACTTCGTTTATTCTTTTCGCATATTTTATTGGACGAATAATTTACCGCATAATCACGTGATAAAACAAACGTTGTTATAGGCTGAAGAAATGTTGTGCCACTATTTATCAGTCAAATGCTTTATTATCAATTCTAAAAAAGAATTACACATAAAAGAGCCGAAATTAGAATTTATCGGTGTAGAATTCTCCGATTTACTGCATCTAATTAAAAATGGGTTATAAAATAAAAAGAATAACGTTTCAGAATTTAACTCCGAAGTACATATAGCTCATTAATTGATTGTCATATTTAGCTCTATAAGACCCGCCAAATTTCAAATTTCCTTTTACCCCTGCTATAAGCCACAAGCCACAGGTTCATGTGATTTTTAAGGGTAATCCTTGTGCAATATAAGTAGTACCTAGCCATGGCAAAAAAATTTTTCATTAGAACATGGAAAGTGGTTTCATAGTCAAAATTTCGAGATAGGTGGTCGCTTTATAAGCAAAAATGCAATGTCTTCATTTGGATAACAGTATTTATAAAAATCATGTGATTTTAACAACTTCTTTATTCTATATGCTACGATTTCTCTTTTCTCGAGTTAAAAGAATTAAATATTAAGTCTATTATTTTTTTAATTTATCATAAATTTTATAATTTTCTATCTATAATAAGCACATATTGAAAATATTATGCACATAAAAAGTTTCATTTATGTATTTTTTGAAAAATTTATATACAGTCAGATCTTTATATAATTATATCTTCGGAATATGAAAAATATAATTATAAAACTTAGTTGAAGTGAAATTTGCATTGATTCTAAATATTTCATAATTGAATATCAATAAATTTAATATAATTTTACAAATATCAATTATCAATATAAAGCATATTATATTAAATTAATTAAATTATATATATTATTAAGAATTATAATTTTATTAAGAAATATAATATATTTTTATTTTGATTTATCTGAAATATCTAAATTTATATTAATATGAAATTTTTAATTTTAATAAAATATATATATTGTAATTTTAAATATATTTGTAATTTTTAATAATAGTAATAATTTAATATAATATATTTTATATTTATTAATAAAGTAATATTAATAGTTATATTAATTTTTTTATTATATTTTCTGTATTTTTTAATTTTAATATACAATGGCAATCAAAGGTAATATAATACTTAAATTTTTTACTAATTATAATTAGTAAAAATTTAAGTGTTGTATTACTTTTAATTATTATTGTAATTAGATCCCAATAGTTATAAAATTAATATATTATTTAAATAATTATTATATATAAGAAATTTGATTTTTATTATATATAATAGCTTTTAAAATTATAGAATTAAAAAATCAATTTATTAATAAAATATAATAAATATTAAAATTTTTTCTTTATATAAAAGTTTATAATTTTTTTAAGAAATAATTTTATTTTTATATTAAAATAAAGTTTATAAATTATAATTTAATATATAATCTTTCAGATTTTTTTTGAAAGAATTATTTTAATTGTAAAGTTATTACAAAATTTTTCTCTAATTAAATTTCATTTTTAATTAGAAAAAGTTTAATAATTTTATAAAGAAAAATTCTTTCAGAAAATTAAAAATATTATATATTAAATTATAATTTATAAACTTTATTTTAATATAAAAATAAAAATTATTTTATAATAAACTTATAAACTTTTATAAAAAAAAGTTTAATTTTTATTATATTTTATTAATAAAATTAATTTTATAATTATAAAAGTTATTTTATATATATATAATTTAAAAAAACTTATTTTCTTTAAATTTATTATAATTTAATAAAAAATTATTTATAATATATAATAAAAAAATTAAAATTAATATTTTTACTTATATTTAATAAATATTTATTTAAATATATAAAATTTTAAATATATATACTTGATAATTTAGTAAATAAATTTAATTAAAAGTATTTAATAATTTATTTTTATAAAATTATTTATAATTAAAATATTTTTATAAAAATTTTTTTTAAAAAAATTATTTATAAAAAATTTAAAATATTTTATTAATCTTTTTTATTTATTATTTAATAAATATTTATTTAAATTATATAAAATTTTAAATATATATAATTATATTTTATTATACTTATATTTTTTATTTACTAATTAATTTTATATTTAATTTATTTTTATATAATCATATTTATATTATAATTAATTTTAATTACTAATAATATTTTTAATATAATTATAAATTATATAATTACAAATATTAATTAATTATAATATATAATATAATTAACTAACTTAATTAATTAGTTTTTTTAATTAAACTAAATTAATAATTTTTTAATCTTATTTACTTGTAATAATATTAAATTTTTATTTTATATTATCTATATAATAGATTATTTTTTGTATTACTTTTCTTAAAGATTAATTTCATATTAAATATACAAATAATTATTCATATATTTAATTAATTAGATTTTATATATTATCATATAAATAATTATTATATATATTATAATTATAAATTTAGATTTATATTAGATTTTTAATTAATATTTTCTTATTATTTAATTTATTCTTTTTTTATTTATTTATATTATTATTTATCTTATTTATAATTATTAAATTATAATTAGTTATTCTTCAGAAATATGAATTAAAATAATTAAATATATATATTTTATTTAATTAATTATTATTTATTTATTTATATTTTGTATTTATTTTTTTTATAAATATATATTCTTTATTTTATATTTTATCTTAAATTTAAATATTATTCAAATAATAAAATTATAAGTTTATAAATTAAAATTATTTATATCATATTTTATCTTATTTACAATTATTAATAAAATAATCTTATAAATTAATAATAGTAAATAAAATTATTACAAATATTATTTTTTAATATTTATATTATACTATATATATATTTTATATATATATATATATATATATATTTTAATTTAATATTTAAATTATAATAAAGAATAATTTAATTAATTTATATAAAATATAACTAAACTTATTAAAATACTAAAGAAAAATAGTCTTTTAATTTAAAATTTTTATCTTATCTTTTAGTTAAACTACTTATATACTTAGAAAAATTAAATAAAAATATACTTATTTAAATAATATAAATTAAAATTATTATTTAATTCAAGAAATTATAGATAAAAAGACTTAAGTATAATATATTACTATTTTTCTAATTGATATAATCCTATATTATTATTTAAATAAATACAAGATTAATAATAATATTATATCATTTAATATAAAAAATTAAAATAAATTTTAGATCTTTTTTTATATATATTATATAATTTTATTCTTTATAACATATAATTTAATATATTAATTATATACTTTATTATTAATAATACAAGAGATAAATTTGGTAAAAAAAAATAGTAAAAAAATAGTAAAAAAAAACTAATATTTTTATATAAACTTCTTCTCATTATTTTTATTATTTATTTGAATATTTTATCTGGATGAATTCTCTATTAGTTTATATACTTCTCATTAAATTTAGTCAGTTTAAATATACTTTGTTATTTATTTTTAATAGACTCTTGTTCAATTATACACTTCTCTTAAATTCTTAATCAGCTTTTTGAGTTCACTACATTCTTTTCATTATCTTATTTTTCAGTATATTTTTCATAATGAAAACTTGTAATACCAGTGTTAAATAATAGATAGATTAATTCTTAAGTTTTTTTATTGTCTTGTTATTAATATATTTTGTTATTAATTTTTATTATCTCATTCTTCAAATTATTATCTCTTTATCATAACTAATCATTATTTTGTTATGCAGTTTTTTTATATTACTTTTCTATTATTATTATATATTAGTTATTATTAGATTTAATATATTTTTATTAATTATATTAGATTAAAATCAAGATATATAAATAAGAATATATCTTATATTATATCTTAATATATTGTTACGGCAAATTAGTAAGTGGGATTTCACTTTAATTCACCTTAACAATATTGAGTTGGGAGAGACTGAAATAATTAAAGATAACAAGAGGGGAATTAGACTATAACTTTCAATAATGACAAAGGTTTCTA